CAAATTAGACCTGGGAACTTTTTGATATGGCCTGCAGACTATCTTATATTAGTTTTTCCTGAGCTTCCTCCTTGCTTCTTAGGAAATAAAAAAAAATATTACAACATAGGTGACACATGACTGTTTATCAATTTCTTGAAAGAGGGTAACGCTATTTCAATTTTGTCAAGAGCTTTTTGAGAAATGTGTTGAAACTGAAATTGCTGAAGATGGACTTCGGTAAATCCAAGTTAAAGTCCCCTGAATTTAGATTTTTAATTGCAATACACCGGCTTCAACCTCAATATACATGTCTCTTTTCGTAGAAATATTACCCAGAATGCATTAGATTCTGAACCAAAAAATTAGCATGTGGCAAGGACAAAGGTATTTGTTATGTAATCATGTATTAACATTGCGATAGTCGATGTCATTTCCTAATGAAATTTCCTGTGATTGAATGCACAAGTGTTTGTGTCAATTATTCTGATGCAAAACATGGCTACTGAAAATCAAGGCTAAGTAGCAAATTAGGTTACCTTGATGACATAGGAAGGAGCCAAAAAATGTCCGTATTTTGTCCAGTGTTCAGAAAATATATATTGACCTGTTGATATATAATCTTTTGGTCTGAGATGGATTTCAGTTCTCTCAGACATACCAAATTTTATTGGAATACCATTCTAAGCATTGATAGGAGGCTCAAGTGTATTTAAAAGAGAATAACAGAGAGCTGACTCACAGTTTTAAATCCATGAACCACATTTGTTTTATTAATTAAATTTTGTCACCAATTCTTCATATCTAACCAAAAAACGATTGTGGCCCTGTTTTATGGTGTGTGAGATTTTTTAATGATTTTTAGAAGTCATGATGACAAACAAGACACCTAGATCACAATACAAGAAGTGTCGATGCAATATTTAATCTTGATTAAATTTTTGAATTGTGTCAAGTTGACAAGGGAACAAAACCCTATACATGTCAAGAAATTATAAGATGTTTTGTAATTTCTTATATTCAATTGGTACTTTTCAAAATTAGAGATATAATGGTGAAAGCCTTTATGGATTTAAACATTGGTTTCACTTGGTTTCTTTTCAATGAAGTTGTCAGAACTTATTTTATTTCATGTCATACTACTTGAAAGAATGATAGACATGAATGTTTGAATTAGGTTTTTTTTTATAGAAGGAGAAAAATGTTGTGTAAAGGCTTTGTTGGAGAATTTGTTTGTTTTTTTAATGAATTAGAATTGAAGTTATTTTTTTTTTTAAAAAGTATGCAAATTTAAGTTTCATTTTTTCCTAGTTGCCATCTTCAAAACTAAGAATTATTTGATAATTGAAAAATGAAAGTTGAGAAAGATTTACAGACTCCCCAAGAAGTTTAAAAAGTAAAGTTCATGGATTTATAAGGTCTAAGGTTTTGGTTATCTAATGTTGTTGTGTTGCTATCTCATTGACCTTTAAACTCCTGTCTGCTTTAATGTACTTGAAATCATAAGACCCCAGCTATCTCTCCAAATCTTAATAAGTCCTAGACCAGATTTTTACTGTATAAATTCTGTTACAAAATTGCTATGAAAGGGATGTTTATTTTATAAAATGCAATATTAATCAATATTACAAGCTCATATTTATACTTCATTAAAACACGATAAAAACATTACTATTTATTGATAAGTTCCAGGGAGGCTTCATTAAATGTAGTGATTAGTGATAGTGAGTTACTCATCCTGTCATTAAGAATGGTGGACTTTTCTGATTGGTTTAGATAGTCCTGGTGTTCAATCAAAGATCCCCATCTTCCTTCTCATTTAAACAGATAAGATCCAATGTTTCATGATTCATGGAAGCAGCTTCCTTATCTTTTTCTTTCCTCTCGTTAAATGTTTTCAGGAGGTTTACCATATTTTCATACTTATGTCATTAAAGGATATGTTTATGTAAAGATAATGTAACTGCTTGTTTGTGAATTTTGATCAAATATGGTAGATAAGATTCTGTAATAGGAAATTATGTCTCCCAAGAGTGTCTGCTGCTAGTTTGTTTGTGATATATAGTATATAGACATAAAGAGCATTCGTTTTGGAAACTAAAATTCTTTCCGAGACGAAATGATATAGATAATATTTGTGTTTGTGCTTTTGCTGTCAATTATTTTTGGTGTCAGTTTTGATTTTTCATTGATCTGGTTCATTCTATTTATTTGATGTTTTGCTTTAAAAACTGACAAGTCTAACTTCTTTCAGATAATAAATTACAAACAAGGATAGAAAATGGCGAAAATCTTAATTTTTTGTCAAACCTGCAAGAAATTATAATTATCAAATTTCTAAAGGTGACGATTGTGGTGCAACAATTTTCAAGTAACATCAATATTTTATATTCAATTTCACCTTGGATGATACAAATTTGAATTGAGGTAGTTTCAGATGTCACCTTGACCTTTTCACCCAGTCATTGTAACCTGGCCTTGACCTCATGAATCTGTAATTGGAGTAACAATACATGACTTGCTTACATTCTGATTCACATCTGTTGGTTTCTCATAGATAGTTGTCTTATTGGCAATTATACCACATCATCTTAGTTTCATAATGAGAGTATATTCATCTGTAATATATAATTTGGCCTTCACCTCAACTCATGCTCCAGATGTTGGTCTTATAAAGTCACATGACTTTGCCATCATTTCCAGTTGTGATTTTAATTTTTTTTTTATTAAGTATGTAGTTCAGAAATTATGCATGATAGATTAATTATATTTTCTTGTGAATTAATTGAAAATAAATGAACATATGCACCTTAAAGATTTCACCTGTGAGTTGACCTCAGTTTGAGAGTTCAGTGCATTTTTTAAAACAATCCAATATTGAAAGGGTTGAGATTTTCTAGTACACGTATGTGTCAGTGTCATACTTCTTCTGGTAATTCAATGAATTTGTTCACTATCACTGGAGTCTGAGATTATATCTTTTTTCAGCAATTGTTAAACCTCAGGTGTTCTCTCGGTGGAACAATTGACTCTTTTATGACATTCCTTCCCTCTTGGAGCCTCAAATGTTATGACAGCCTATCATATTTCTTTCCCCCAAAGTAACAATTTCGTAAAAGATGAATATTAATAACAGATCAGCTTTAAATGGAAGAAAACAATTTATTTTGTAGTTTCAAATTAAAATAATGATTTAAGTTTGTGAAATTAAATAAATATCCTGTTGTAAATGAGAATTGTGCAATAAAGATGATTAATCTTGCAACAGAGGTATAATATAAGATTGTTTACTGTAATTACAGAGTGTATAACATATTTGTACCAAGGATTTTACCGACTTCATTATCATTCAAAGAAATGTGTCCCTTGGAAGAATCAATTTGGAAAATAAACGTCTCCTGGATTCATCACTTATTTATATAAAACCACAATTGCACTCAAAATGTAAAAGTACAATGCTATAACTAAATTAATTTCAAAAGTACTAATTGTGTGGTAGGAAATTCATTTCAGAAGTACAACTTTTGATGTAGGTTTGTTTTTTCAATGGTGTTTACCCAATTTTTCCTGTTATTTATATATTTAGGTCATTAACAGTTATGATTGACTACTTAAATGCAGTTTGAAGTTCTATAAATTATTCATAGAGGAAAACTGTTTTCTGTCAGAAATATAAACAAATGATATGATGTTTTATGACATTTTATTACAAGTTAGCATACAGGAGCCTTATATAAACTGCTCTATTTCTCACTTAAAGGGGGCCTTGGTGGCTGAGTGGTGTAAGTAGTCAAACTACTTTATCACTAGCCTGTCAACACACAGAGGTTTTGAGTTCAATTCTGGCACATGACAGGGGCTGTTTGACGCCAATCTTAATTGACTAGGATTGTCAGTTTTCATACCTGAAAGATCCTTGGTTTTCGAAAGGCACTCCTGCATCATCTTCCAATAAAAACTGACCACCACGAAATAGCACAATAGTGCTGAAAGTGGCTTTAAACACCAATCAATCAATCAATCACTTTGATAATCTCTCAGTATGTGTTTGAAAAAAAAAAGATTTGCAGTTTTGACAACAATGTAATGGACTAATTATATCTTCATTGAAACCACATTTTAACAATATTTTGTTACTTGTTACTATAAGGATTAAGCTATGTATAGAAATTTTGAAGTTACTTTGATACATTTGTAGTAGTAAATGAAGAAACCTAAAAATTAAGAACCTTTGAAATAGCAATTTTTTCTAAAACCACAAAAATTGATACCAGCAAAGTGTAAGTTTAGTTTTAGTAATAGAGATCACCTTTAGTCAAAAGAAAACTTTTATGGGCAGAGAAAATGCTCAATATGTTGTTGAGATAGCTTGCATGTCAGAACACCATAAAACCTCAGACTTTTGTCTCCTAATCTGTTAATTAACTATAAGAAGATCTGATACATTATTTAAGAAACAAGAGATCTGTTTATATGGTAATAAAAACATGAGATGGGATTTTTTTCTGTAAGAAATCCAATAGATTTACATTAAGCAGCTTTTAAAACTCATTCAATGTATCAAAGATTTTAAAAACATTCAAAATACCAAATTGTAAAAGAAGAACTTTTTGTTAGTGATACAGTAAAGATATAATTTACATGAACAATTATGCAGTATATATATAAAATAGGAGGTGATGTATGATTGCTAATAAGACAAAGATGAGGCTGTAAAAACTACAGATCATCATGATCATATGCCCGTTACTGTGATTTCCTTTTGTCATGGTCTTAAAAGGCTTTATGTAGATAGATATTACATAAAAGTAGTCTGTATGTCAAAAATGAATTTAACAGCATAAATTGGCTTCATTTGGCTTGATTTACTGGTTTTCTGTATTTCAGAACTATGTTTGTAAATTGTAAGATGAAATAGAATGTTTGTTACTGCTGTATATGTTACTTTTATTTTGAATTAGAAAATGAATTGATTTAAAATAATCTTAAAAATTAATATTTTTTTCTTTTATTTTTTTCAGATTTATAAGTTAGCATTACAAGACTGTAGCCAGTATGAAAGTTGCGGTGAATGCAGAGGAGCTAATGATCCATTCTGTGGCTGGTGTTCTTTGGAAGACAAGTAAATTTATACCCCTCCACTCTTATATCCATCAATATAACAGATGATTGTTCACTTCCAACCTTCTTCAACCAATATTACATTATTATTTCAATGGATTGATGTACTATTCTACCGTTCTTTTTACAAATTTAACAGATAAATTCTAACTCAGTTGGTGTTCTTTAATCCTTCTTTCCACCATTTTATCATGATTTTCACTTGGATGGTACCTTTCTCTTCAAAAATTTTCCATATAATTTTTCATTATTGGGACACCCCTCCACCATTGATTCTTCCTTCGTTGAGGTAACCAACTGTTGTTCAGCCTCTTTGAAAATTCTGAATACAATCAAATTCTATTACTGTTACATTCTTATGCAATTCTTATATAATATTGCAGATAAAGATTTATTCTTATGTAATATTGCAGATAAAGATTTAGCTCATAATTCTTTATTTATGTATATTATTGACGCTGATCTTTAACTCATACTATTAATTTATGAATATTATTGACGTTGATCTAAACAAAGTTAATGATTGTTGTCAACCTTCATACGGAAGTGTCAAAATTGTTGGATTTTTAATCTGACGTCTTATGGTGTTTTACCATATCATTAACATACCAGGTAATATTACATCTAATACAGGTGCTTTATTAAGATGAGTGATTATTCAGTGACTTTATAAATAAATTGTTAAAAAATATAAAACAATTTGATGTCTGGGAGCTACTGTTACATTACCTATTGTAAAATGGTGCACATTCCTAACGTGCCATACAATTCGTTGAATTTAATTATAAAAACAGATTAAACAATTTAAGATTTGCGTTACTAATCTAATTAATTAGTAATAAGGATAGCTGTTAATCTTTGTTAATAGCTGTTGGAATGCTCAATACACATTTCCCAGCGACCTTTCGGGATCGGCTCCGCCAAATATTTAATGCTCTGCCAGACAACTGTCACTGTCATATTTGTATTTTAAGTCCTATTAAAGTTGTTCTGTTATTAAAAAGATTGACTTCTCATAAGGCAATTAGCAACTATTAAAAAGGAACAACTGTAAAATTCTTACCGAGGAATTTACTAAAATATGACCCACACAAATATGGAAATCCTTAGGGAACAACCATTTAACTCTGTGAGGGATGGGGTTATGGTTTTTCTCTAGGATCAAGCCTTAGGGAAAAAAGAAAATTTCTGATTGAGAATTTTTAATTGCCATTTAATTTAATGTTTAATAAGTTCTTAAAAAAAGATTTGCTTTGCACAACCTTAACAATAAATGATTTGATGCTTGCATGGTGCGAACCAAATTTTCAAAATGAAAAAAAATTCTTAACTCCTTCCCCCTAAAAGTTAAATGGTAGTTCCCTTTGCTGGTAAACTAACAGATCTAATATATGGCTTCATTATAATAAAAAACACTCCAAATATGAATAGAAGAGTTTAAAAAATAAGTTGTCTGAAGACTAAAGGGTTGTGATTTTCTTGAAGATCTTTTTAGCTTTAGGAATCTGATTTATGTGTGTTAAAATAAACTCAAAAAATAACTCTGAGAACATTTTACATCTTAGATTCTTCAGAGACTTTAATTAGTATTGCATATTTGTTGCATCATTTCAATGTGAATAGAAAACTTTCTTTTTCCTGGCAGACAGCTACAAAAGTATTGACCTATGTGCGTTAAACTAAGAACTTGACTTGCAAGAGTTGTTGTATAGTTTCTGACTCTTGCCGTGATGTGCTATTCTCCCTGGACACTCAATTATAATAATTATGGAAATTTGGTTAGGATATTTTCCATTAAACTGACTCATTTCTCACAGGAGTACATACTTTAACTTTTGTTCAGTTCAATTCCATCTTACCAATTGCTATAATTGCCCAATATAATATAGCAGCGTAAGATTTTCCGTGTATATCGTAATGAACAATCGTTGGATGCAGGACTTGTATAAAGTTTGACAGAACATATAAATTACTTTGCAGACCGATATTGAATATTCCGAGCTTTCGTCTTTTATTTGGTAGAAATTGTTTGATGAATAGTCATGGGTATTTTGGACGTCTTTTGAGGAAAGTAGAATGAACAATGCAATCAATATTACTGTTACCCTGATGATACATTAATCTGGTTCCTGGTGTAGTCATTTTTTGCCATTATCTATCTCCTGGAAACAATCTTATTCAGAAATTTTTATAGAAGTTGAAAATAACATTGAATTACAGATCTGCATATTTTTTTTTATAGAAATGTTAGAATACTAAAAAGTTATTTTTGATTTTCTTTTTCATTTCAGTAATTTTTAAGTTTACTGAATGCTCTGTACGCATTTTGCAGACTTAATTATTGTTTTATATGATAAAACAGAGATTTTAGTGAATGTTTTTAAATTGTTGGGTAGTTGCCATTAACTTCAGGAATTAGGGAAATAACACATTTGATGGGCCTTTTGATTTCTATTCAGTTAGATTTTGTCAGATCTTAATCACATTTACATTGTTAGCTTTTGCAATCATTTCTTCATTACACAGGAAAAACAAAAACAAACTCTGAAAAACATTGTTTTATTTTTACTTAGTTAGTTTTGGCAATCTTTTCATTTAGTGTAACTAAGTATGTTAGCTTCCTGAATTGAGGCTTAATTTTGTAAAATGTAATGAAATGTAAAAATTTAGGTAACCATTAAAATGCACTGATTCTCGGAACTGTTTTTTTTGTCTCGCCTTGACGGAGTCAAAAAGCGAGACATAGGTATGCTGTTTCAGGCGGCAGCAGCGGCGACAGCGGCATCAACAATGTATTAGTTTGTGATTTATGAGGTCATGTTCATGGTGAACCACTAGTGGTAGGTCATTGATATTTGGTATGCAGTTGTATTAGCATTGGCACATCTCATTACCATGGAGATTATTTGGCCCTGGCCCCTCAGTCAAGGTGTATTGACTTTGAAATTTTGCTTAGTTTACATGTATTAGTTTGTGATTAGGTCTAGTTCATGGTGAACCACTAGTGGTAGGTCAATGATATTTGGTATGCGGTTGTATTAGCATTGGCACATCTCATTACCATTGAGATTATTTGGCCCTGCCCCCTCAGTCAAGGTCTATTGACTTTGAAACTTTGCTTAGTTTACATGTATTAGTTTGTGATTAGGTCAGTTTATGGGGAACCACTAGTGGTAGGTCAATGATATTTGGTGTACAACTGTATAAGCATTAGCATATCTCATTTCCATGGAGATTATTTGGCCCCGTCCCCTCATTCATGGTCTATTGACTTTAAAGCTTTTGCTTAGTTTTCATGTATTAGTTTGTGATTAGGTCAGTTTAAGGGGAACTGTTAGTGGTAGGTCAATGATAATTGGTATGCAGTTGTATAAGCATTAGCACATCTCATTTCCATGGAGAATATTTGGTCCTTACCCCTCAGTCATGGTCTATTGACTTTGAAACTTTTGCTTAGTTTACATGTATTAGTTAGTGATAAGGTCAGTTTAAGATGAACCACTTATGTTAAGTCAATGATATTCGGTATGCAAATGTATTGGCGTTTGCAAGTTTCATTTTCGTGGAGATTATTGAACCCCACCCCCTAATTATGGTTCATTGACTTTGAAACTTTTACATAGTTTACAAGTTAATGTTTGTGTTTAGGTTTGTTTAACGGGAACGACTTATGAAAAGTCAATAGTATTTGGTATGCAGTTGTATTAGCATTGGCATATCTCATTTCCATGGAGATTGTTTAGCCCTGTACCTTCAGTTATGGTTCATTGACTTTGAATATTTGCATAACTTACATGTTAAAGTATTGCTATTTTAATTTCAACATTTGCATTATCAAAATAACAAATAGGCGAGACATATCTCTGTGTTAACAGTTTATGAAATTTTTAACCAATGTTACAAATTTTGCTTTTTACAAATAAATGAAAGCTGGTCAAGGAACATATGAATTTCCAAGTAAGTTATAGGTCTTGTAGAAGAAATCAATGCGGTGAATAGGAGGTCCAGGACTTTTGTAATTCAGAAATCAAAGGTTCCCTCCCTTAAAATACAGGCCCCAGACCTTAGACCCACACTAACTTGAACCCTGGTTGAGTTTGACACATGCAAAAATAATATTGTTAATGATTATGGTATCTCATTTTTTGGGAAGGAAATTGTATGGCATTATCTTTGATCTGTAACAAGTTGCCAAGAACTAATGTATCCGATAAGATGTCAAGGGAGTTTACTATAAATGGCTGCAGCACCATGTATGATAAATTTGTAGTCTTCATGTTTCTCCTGGGAAACTGTTAACACAGCTATATAGAAATGCTTCTCTTAGATATGAAATTATAGATAATTATCTCAGAGTTTTTTACCGCATAAACAGATCTGCTTTTCGTTTATGATCAATTGTTTGCCGATATTTTGTCACCTGTTGTAGAGGAAAGCTGGCTACGATATTTGCTTTCCTGATTGTTTTATGTCCGGTCAGGGAATTCCAAAATCATTATGTTACTTGTGTTGTGCTTTTTCACAGGCAGAATACAGTAAAAATGGTAATGAAGGGAGAGAAAATTGTTTTCCATCCAAACATTGTTGCTAATATATCAGAGTAAAATGTGTTTATCAGAACTTCATATCTGCATACATTTAACAAATATAATGATATAATTGAGAGATTAACCAATAAACTGTTTAAAACTTTCAACAACTTCAGTGTTGTTTTAAAATGTTAAAAAATGATAACATTTTTGGGTCCAAATAGTGAAGGTTTGTAAGCTACAAGTATATTTTTTCTTAGCTATTGTCCAAATATGAAACTTAAATTGTGCAGAACTGGTTTGGCATAAAAAAATTGCTCTTGGGAAAATAAAATTGTGACGCATAACTGCAGTTGTCCCATATAGGTCTATAGTTGTGATTTTTTTTTAACGATTTTTAATTAGGCCCTGATTCAAAGTTGCCTATTCCTTAGGTGATCAGACAATTTGATATATATTCTGTGGACAAAAAAATGAGGAGTATTTACTTTAGTTTTTTAAATCCTTATGTTTATGTTTATAGATGTAGCGTTAGAGAACAGTGTGAATCTAATGAGTCAGAACTAAGATGGCTAGGATACAAAGGAGAAACATGTACAAACATTACATCTGTGTACCCAGACAAACTCCAGAAGAACAACAAAGTATCCAGGACTACAAGTGTATGTATTATCACATATAATTGGTGTCAACTGTTCAGTCTAAAGTTAGAAAATACAGTTATACTTAAAAAAGGTAATATGAATTACCAAATTATTGGACTGTTTGACAGACCATACCATACAAACACTAACATTACCCACTCCTCCAAGAAAATAGACTTACAGATAAAAACAACAAAGATCAACACTGGGTCCTTAAAGCTGATTTGGTACAGGCACAAAATTTGTCGGAGTTGAACCAATTTAATGTGTACAAACAATCCTCCCCCCTGACTATCTAGACCATATGTTGTAATAGTTAAGCAGATAATGAAAAACCTGCACAGTCCAGCTACCAACAGGATGACCTCTAAGGAAAAAAGAAATAAAGGATGTGGCATTATGAATGAAACAGGTATTGGAGAAACATCAAGTCATTCTATCAGACTTCAATGATGAGCAAGAATATTACAGATGCTTTTTCTGCAATTACCCAGACCATTTTTCATTATTGGAGTTGGTTTTTTTGAACATCTGAATTAGAAAATACCTGGTAGGTTCAAATATGACCTGTACAAGGCTGAAATTGCATATATATATATATATATATCCAATATCTTGGTTTATATATAAAAAAAATATATAAAAAATCTAAATAAATTCAAATGTTTGAATTTGAATGATGAAGTGATCAAAATTTTAATAATTTTAGATAAAATAATCATTTGAAATAACCTGCATCCAATTCCAGTATTAAATAGAATTCAGTTAATGTTCATTACAAAACTATAATCAGGTAGCTATAGTCCATTCTCATCTTTATAGGAATCTAATGCGTTTTTGTCAGGGATTGGAGTGGGAAAATCTTCCATTTAAAGATAGACATTCTTTATGGAAATAGCACCCTATCGTTCAAATCAGCATTGGAATATTTTAAACCAGTATATGTCCTGAAAATAAACTTGTTTTCATAATTAGAAATTGTTATCAAATGAATTGGTAATGTGAGAAAGATTGTGTCAGCAAGCTTGACTGTTTAAGGAAATGGAATTGTAACGAGAATGCAAATTGCCAATGTAATTTAGGCTCCTGTAATGCATTAAATTACACACTTGGAGTACAATATTTGATACATGGTTTTGTACAAAAATTATGATTAATGTGATAAAAACAAATTATATAAAACGATGCTGAAAGCAACATTCGGTATTAGTCACCAACGTGTATATCGTTTACGCTGTATGATGTTAAAGGTCAGAATATGGTCATGTCGGCTTGTATAGGGATTCCGTACCAAGCCACTTGCTTATTTACTCCAGTGTAATTGGATTGTCAGAGTAACAAATCGCTGTCCTCAAGTTCATTTGTTTGTAATCATAGATCAGAAGTCTCGTGAAAAAAAAAGTTATTTGATTAAATGCAATAATGACAAAGTGTTAACAATACTTATGATCTGCACTTTAATGGTTATGAAAAAAAAAACTAGGGTAGTCATTGACAATTAAGTTAAATCATAACTATTTGATATTGAAAAAGACCAATATTTATATTAAATTTTTTTTAAAACAAATTTGTTCATCTTTTATTCAATAAACTATCAGATCTTAAAATATTGTTTTTTCCAAAAGTAATTTCAGAAGTTCTCAATTGATAAATGTAATCTTAGTCCATGTTGTGATGGAAAATATGTAACAAGCTAAAAGAATTTACGGAAGGCAATGTTCATTGTGTTATATTTTTGCTGTTAACAATCATTGGATATTACTGAAATTTCTGTTACTGGGGCTTCAAGTGTAAATATTCTGTCTCCTGGAGAGTGCAAAATTGCTTTACAAATTAGATAAAGATACCAACCGAAAATTGAAAGGATTAGGAAAATTCAATTTTCTATAGAAATTAGCATTAAGCATTTAGCACAGTCAAAACATATTGTTTTCAAAATGAACTTTTTTGAAATGAGATAAATTAGTATTTTACTTTTTATTTTCAGTTAACTTTAAATATATCCAATCTACCAACATATGAGCCATTTAAAATTGTTTGTCAATTTTCTGGATATAATACTGTACTGCTGACCAAAGCAAACAGGACATCATCGAACACCATGACTTGTGAAACACCATTGCCTAATCAGCTCCCATCATTCCCTGTTGGTGAAGGTAAGTGGTTATAACTCTCTGTATGGGGCTTCAGTAAGGTAGACATGGGATCTCTAGGTCGTCGACACACCCCCCACCCCCCAAAGTCCCATATCTGATTTGGCCATGTTGGAGCCACAAGTATAATATAAGAAAGCAAATCATTACCTTTAATAGCAACTGTTCCCACGATAACAGACATGTGAAACATCTGAAGATTTATTTCTTTTAGGTGATAGTATTTGCACCTCATTGCCATCATGAACCAGTGTAGACTCGCTACAAGTCTCATTCTTGTAGATTTCCTCCTTACTAACTGATATTTTAATGGAAAGCTTCCATGACACTGATTGCCCTTGCATCATGCTCTGCAGGTGTCAATACAATGGCAAACATTTGCCAATGAGAAAACTATCCACCAAAGTTCAAATAAAGTGGAAGTAAGCAATTATAGGCAACCGTACGGCCTTCAACAATGAGAAAAACCCATACTGTATAGTCGGCTATAAAAGGCCCCGACATGAAAAATATGAAACAATTCTATTGAGAAAACTAACAGCCTAATTTATAACAAAACAATTAACGAAAAACAAATATGACAGACATGAACCAACGACATCTAATGAACTACAGGCTATATTGTGTTTTGTAGATTGTTTGTCTTTTGGTTGTTTTTTTTTCTTTTTTCGCCATTGCATTGTCAGTTAGCTTTTGACTTGTGAGTTTGAATATCTTTTTGTTATCTTCTGCCTCTCTTTTATAGAAGAAAAATTTGTTAAAGGGGTTAAAATTAAAATAAAGTATGATTAGGAATGGACATGTAGTAAGTTTTAAACTCGTGTTGCTATGTGAAACAATTATTGTTTACAACAATTGACTAACTTGACAATGGAATATTCCTGCAAAAGAATTTAAATCAAGGTCTTTATAATGTAAGTATACCTTGAATAGCTTCAGGTTTAATGTTAACCACAGAGTTTTGGTTAATTACATGTACATGCACAAGTTATTACACTACTCCCAAGATGTCTGAGATACATATGTCGTAATTGTGTAAGGTACATGTAGTCTGTTATATGAGAGATATCATAGATTACTTAATTCATTGTTGAAACAGATCTTGTGAACAATATTTATGGGCTAACCACAGAGTTATGATTCATCTCCTTGCGATATCGGGCTCTGTTAGATTTCCCAAGTCTAAAATATTTCTTATCTGATGAACCAATATTATTTCCCCCTACTACTTCTCTGAAATTGACTACCAATTTGTGGGAAATGTACCAAATTTTAATTGCTCCCCTACTTTGTTCCAATTTTACTTGTGACTGGTGGCTGTCAGCAGGACTGATCATTGTCAGAAAAGTGTTTTGAAGAAAGCAAAATCCTTATTTTTGACTTTGATATGAAGATACAATAGGTTACCAGTATGCACATTTTTCAATACCTGCTGGTACTATAGGTAAATGAGGGTACCAGTTAGTATAAAGTTTTAAAGAATGATTCATGACCATCCCAAAAAACTGATGATCTGTTCTTATGTTATCACAGATGACCAGTATACAATTTCCTAATTATATGGACCACAGCTGTTTCCTTGCTAGTGAGATATCACAGGTTACCAGTAGGTGGCTCCTTATCAGATGACCATTGCTTCTGCTCTATATTGAAGCTTTCAGAGGTGACCAGTATAGCTTCCTTATCATTTGACCTCAGAATTCATTCATTATTATGTCCAGATAAATCTTTTGATGTTTATCTGTGCAGAGAACACGTAGATAGGATATTTGTCTGTTAGCCGATCATCAACATTTAAACTTTCATGTGATGCTATCGGCACAGAAACAAATACTTAGACTAAAATTTAAACTTCTGTTTGATGGCTATCTGTATCGTTGTCACAGTGATTTATTAAGATTTTAACCTTGTTACTCGAGTGCAAATTGAAAAAGTTTTTGTCAGTCTTGCCTTTGGGAAGTTTCATTGAAGTGTACATCCTCATTTTAAAATTTCTGTCAAAAAATTAGCTCATTGGTTTCACCTTTTCTTTATCTTCTTGTTAAGTACATCACTGATGTTAATGATAGTTTTTGTTATGCAAGATGTAAGCTGAAGACTTGTAAAACTTAGTAATTGATAAGAAATAGCATGGGTAGAAGTATGTTCTGACCACCTAGACAGAAATGTTTGCTGTTTCTGGTGCATTGATGCATACAGTACAGTTCTTGATGAGCTGAGTATATCTGTGATTTGTAGCTTATTGAAAACCTATAAGGTCAAATACTGTATAGAAATTCTAAAAAGACTATACTTTCGTGCAGCTAGTCACTTTTTAATTGTTGTAGTCCTCAGAAATACATTGTGACTGACCTATATATTTTTTTGTATTTTTGAAGACTGTAATCTATCGCAATCAGTTGTCAGTGGTAGACATTTAGATTAAAAGGGTATCTTAACTATCCTTTCCACCCCTCCCATCCTCTGAAAATTTCGTCTGTTTTTTTTAAATCCTTCATAATGTGGTAATTTTCTATGGAAATCCCAGAGAAACCTAAGGAATTTTATTTTGCATTCTTGCACAGATGGAGAAGAAAGTCATTAAAAAAGTTAAGATTGTAATGAAACGAATTAAATACATGTTTATTCACCTGCTACTCAACCTTCAAATGACCTTGAAAGGATAAATATGGATTAATGCCATTCTAACTTAAAGATATAATGATACTTCAGACATAATCATTGGAACATTAGAGTTTTCTGTCTTATTTATCAAATACAAGTATTGATTAGGGAGGGATTTTAAACTGAAATTTTGTTCATTGCCTTAATCTTATTCAGGGGAAATGTTCAAATTGATTGATATTTTCCTATAGGGACTTCTGGGATTAAAATCTAGATGTTGACAAAAGAATTTATTACAAAAGAGGACAGAAATTTGAAATTTAGATTAGTTCTTACTATATTGATGGGTTGTAATTGGAAATACTGTGCTTTATAGCTGTGTAAGATTATATCTTTATCGTATTTGGGTTTTTAATTAAGATTTTTTTAAAGTTGATTGGATATAAGCAAGATTTTTTTTGTTAACACAGTCAGAGAGATATAATACCATTAATGTTTTATGTCTGACACAGGCCACTAAGGCACAGAATGTTTTCTGCTTTATACTTTTACCATATCAGTTCTGTGTAATGATTGATTTTTCAGAAGGGATATACTGTAGGAGAGAGGCGAAAGATACCAAACGGACATTCAAACTCATAAGTTGAAATAAACTGACAACATCATGGCTAAAAAAGAAAAAGACCAACAGACAAACAATAGTACACAAAACACAACGTAGAAAACTAAAGACTGAGCAACACGAACCCCACCAAAAACGGGGTGATCTCAGGTGCTCCGGAAGGGTAAGCAGATCCTGCTCCACATGTGGCACCTGTTGTGTTGCTCATGTTAGTACAAACCCGGTAATAAGTCTAATTTGGTAGGTCACATTCAGGGAAAAGGGGATGGGATTGTAGTTACGACATTTGGAACATATCTGCTATCATCTGTTGAACAGATATTCCATAACGGTCATATATAGGAGAATATGAAATGGTACATATTACCCTTCCAGTGCACCTGAAATCATCCCTAGTTTTTGTGGGGTTCGTGTTTTTCATGTTGTATAAAAATATACAACACAGAAATAAATAAAACTTGTGAGAAGTTTTATTTTTTTAGAATGTTCAGGGCTCTATTATGCTCCTCTTCTGATATAGCCAGACAGTTTGTGCTTCCCAATTTTGATTTGTTTAGTATTGGTAATTAAAGGCATTTACACCGAATAGTTTTATGGTTGGGACATCAAGAGCAAGGAATTTGTTTTTAAGACATGAAAATAATTAACTTATATTTTGATATAGGCTTTGTTTACTAACAGAAGTGTTGAAAGTCATCATACTTAAGTTTGTGGTATCTTCTTTACTACTACAATATTACAGTGACAGAAATAAAAATAAGGAGATGTGGTATGATTACTTTTGTACTTAACATGAACACGTTTCCTGATACCTAATTTGTTGACTTTACAGAGATTAACTGTTGGAAAAGATTGAAAATGTTAAATCCATGTTCATTTTTGTCAAGCATTCTCAATTAATAGTAGTTTTCTTCAGTTGTTTCTTCATGTGAATCATTGAAACAAACATAATATAAATGATATAACATATTTATCTATTTTGAAATCTTTGTAATGCATCATTTAGTTTCACACATTTCTCTTTTCCTCTCTGCTTCCCTTTGCACTGGTAGAAATTGAGTATCTAGCTCTGCTTATAACTTATAGACAAGTTATTGACTTACAGAGTTTTTTTCTTATAAACAAATGTGATATTTTACACAACCTGTGACTATCTCGGTTAAATATTGATAAACTAGTAAGTTGCTGGAAACCCAGTCCATACCACAGCTGTTGAAAAGCCAATTTAATTCATTCATCCATGCTTTGTGGAACAAGTACTTCATGTTGAACTTATTACTGGGTAAAAGGAGTGGGACACCTTATGAAACAAGAACTTCTCATGGTTAGTAAGCACAGCTGATAACATTCCGTAAAACAATGAGTACATTGAACTAGGGTGTATATAAAGGAGTATACAGTGACAAGTGGGGTTAATCTTGACAATTTATATTCTGATTGTATTATTATCCCTGGTAACTGATATTATGAATATTGGGTCTGTTGATTTGTAATGTATAGCAAGGAAAGTCAATAGACATGCGAAAAATTATTCGAAAATTTTCAGAATAAGATTTTTTTAATCAGATATGACTAATTTTTTAAAAGATTTTAGAATAGAATTTTTTTATCAGATATGATTAATTTTTTTCCAAAGTGACATAGGATTTTTAATAAGAATTTACACAGTGTCCATGTTAATTCTCTCAGGAAGTCATGACAAGAAAAATGTATATGAGCATTTTTTAATATATTATTTTTGTTATCAGATATGATTAATTTTTGACAAAGTGACACA